TTGTGTTCTGCAACTGGTACGGTTATCATGTGTTTTCAAATTTTGGGCACCTTCTGCTGATTCAGAGATTTCAGTTTCAAAATAGCTAAATATACTGTAGTACTGAGGTGCTAAGCACATGAGCTTTATAACTGCCTAATGATGTTATCAGGTCCTTGACTTTTGTTTTCTAGAAATGCAATGTGTTTCAAATTAATCCTAGGTGGAATCGGTGAGCTTCTCTCTTACATAATTTCTTTAGAAATTATGTAATTTGAGAAAATTTTTAAAAAGCATATGCTTTACCAGGTAGAGCACCTACTAGATCTAATGCAATGTGCCTACAGGGCTAAAAGAGGACTTGAGGATGATACCGTCACATTATTAAATTTCTTATATACATAACTAGATAGTCCCAAGAAACATACCAGGCTTTTATTTATAGATGACTCTTTAAATAAATCAGCTTTTAACATCATTCAACCATACCTCGTGGAGAGAGTTCTCTCAAATTTTAATCTAGTTTTATTGTAGGCTAGATTTATTGTTGGGAAAACGGCTATTATTTCATTTAGAATCATTCAGAGTAAGACAATCAGTCAGAAAAGTGTTAAACATTGCTTATGCTAATAAAAAAGAACTTTGATTTGATAATTAGAAGGATGAAACAAAAACAAACAACAGATTTGAGGTACTTACCCTAATTTAGTATCCTGTTTGTGATGCCAATGTAAAACAATGAATAACACTTCTTGGAAATTTAAAATGGATTGAAGATGTAAAAAACATGATTTTGATAATAATATTTTTTGTGAATTTCTGTAATATTATCATAAGCATATGCTATTCACACAATATCCTTATAAAATGTGAAAGCTATCATAGTCTTTTAAGAACTTTTATTACATACCCACCCAATTTCAGACTACTGTTTTAAAACTTGTTTCTCTGGCAATTACTTCTGAACTTGTTTGGGAGAGAATAAGAAATGTGGACATCCACACCTACAGAGCCATTTAACACGTTTTAAGCTCCACAACACCAGACAGGAGAATAAATATACTGTAGAATTGTGGTGTCTCACTATCTAAAAGCCTCCAAGAACCTAGAAAGTCACAGGAGTGGCTGTATGATGGAGAGATTAGAGAGTCCTGCCTGACTAATACCAAGCTTACTTTGGCAGCCTACGGAGCCATTTTTGGGCCATTGCCTGGGAGAAGCTAGGCAATGTCAGCTAGGCACATGACCAAGAGTAGGCAATAGAGATCAACCAATCAACCACTTTTGTTGGTTAAGCCACCCAGGAATCCCAATGAATCCTTCTCAATATGTTAATTCAAAATGTATTGGTTATGGTAGAAGAGGTGCTAATGGTGAATACCTGAGCAACAGAATTCAGAACATTCCCCAGATGTAGAGCTTATACAAAAGCATCCTGTTCCCAGTACTTTGAATAGTATTTGTTTTCTTTCTGCCACTCTGTTTAGTCAACTTGTGAGTGTACATTACAATTGCATTGCCAAAAGGTGGCGTAATTGTATTTAATCAATGCTTGTAAAGTATTTGCCTTTGTAAAGTGTAAAAAAATGGTATTGCATCATCCTATCATAAAACTTCCTAATTTCAAGTACTGGTCAGCACAAAACTGAAATGTTCTATGTGTCCAATGTGCTGAGCTAGGAGAAAAAGATTAAAAAAATATTTTGGTAGAACATCCTTACTAATCAAAATGCCTTACAAAGCCAACTCATCATAAGGATGTGAGATCAAGAGACATCACAAGTATATTGGCCTCTGCTCTCTAGGTACAGTAGATTTTAACTTGGGGTACCACCTTACCATTCAAATTACTGAGATGTTATAGTCCCAGTGAACCTGGTGTGAAGCCATAAGTGATAGCACAAAAATAACTAAGGAAGCAAGCCTCATTGTTTTTGTGCTCTCACTTATGGCTTCACACCAGCTTCAATGGGGCTGAGGGGTTCGTTCAAAATGAGGCAATGGGTTCGTTCAGACAAAAAGGATAGCAAACCATAGCAAAAGATCATTACCTGCATCCCCAATAAAATGACATATCAAAGTGGTCAGGAGACTCTAGATCACTAGTCTGCTTCCACCTTAGCAAATGTGATTTTTGGTTCTGTAGTTACTGTAGCTAAAGCATTATTCATATACAGTCTCAATGATGATAGCTTTGCACATCCATTTGCATGTATTCCTGTATTTTCTGTAAGTAGTGATTGAGTGTGTTGGGGTGATCTTGATTTGGGGGTTATTGTTTGAAGGTGAAAAGGAATTGCAATTAGTACTTACAAAAGTGTTACAGTAAATGTTTTATTATGTGATTTGGTATTGTAAAAAAGCACTTTTCCATCAAAAAAGGTTTATTTTATAAGTGCTGTTGAAGATGTGTAAAAACATTTTTCTGTGAAGCTGTATTCAGCGTCTTTTTTCTCATGCATGTGCACTAATAGCACGCATGAGCAATTCACAAGGAACACTGTAATTCCACTTCCCCAAGTTCCCACTGCTGAATTTGTGAGTGGGTGTCCAAATCGCACTAAAAAACTAAGAGCCATGCAGAAGATTTTTTAATAATACAGAATTCTTATTCCCTGATTTTACTTTGAACTACGTTAGCAGTGACTTCATTTTTGTAATTTCCAATAATATTTAACATATTTGAAGACCACACAAAGAAAACGAAAGGATGGTTTCCCCTTTTTGTTTTCATTTTTTAACGTTTGTTCTCCACGATTAGAAACTTCAGACGTATTCAGATCAGAACACGTTCTGAGAACAGAAACGCCAGTTTCACTTGGTACAAGAAAAATATCACTCCGGCATTTTAATTGTCAGCGTATTCTTCTGAGAGTGAAGCGGCGGTGTGGAGGTACAGTATGAATTTAGGACTCTTTATCGAATTTGTTCAGTGTGCTTTTCCTGCCATGTGAAGTCAAGGGACCACACATGGTTTGTTCTTTCGTTCATTTTCCATGAAATGTTTTTGGTTGTCATTGTGAGAACAGGTTACACATTCTTTCACTTTATGTTGGTATTTCTGTACATAATGCAGAAAGTTTTGTTTTGTTTTTTTTAATTCGCGGCAGTGCGGTAGTAAATTTAACTTTGAAATGTATCCTTTTCTTTTCGGTCCTACTGTTGTAACTAGAAAGGCTTGATCAAGGTTCACAGAAACGCTACTAATTAAAATAAGTATTTTAAATGTTATGAGAGAGGGAGGATTATGCCTATTTAAAGTAAAACGAATGTGTAAATTACTAATCAGATAACCCTTACCCGGGACCCTCACCATAAAATAATTCTTAAACTTTGTGTGCGTCTTAAGCTTCTTAATTTAGACAGAGTTAGAATCATCATAGGCAGAGCAGAGAAGCTTAAAGGAAGATTTTCCAATTAAGGTGTTTTTAGGTTTTTTAAAACTTAGTTTTTTCAAGCTGGAATTTATAAACAAATAATAATTCTAACATTATACAATTATTTTCTAAAGACCCTTTTGTGAAACAAACTAAATAAAATGAACCCAAGCAGTGTAAACTAAAGGGAAGTCCTTGGAAAATCTTACAAAATGTGTTAATATACAATATTCATAAGGAATATATTCTGTATATAGCGTATATCTTGAATCTGTTGGTATATTTATAGGAATGCCTTTGAAAAGATTCTGAATTCCCAGTTTAATATTTTTGATGTTTTAGTTATTACTGTTTATTGTAATTCATGTTTTTAATTTGACCTGAAATTTAATTTGCAGCATCTACTGTAGAAAGAAAATGTCCAATATAGTCAGATTGATGAGATCTGATGCTTCAAATACAGTCCAGATGTTTCACATTTGGCTGATAGCCTGGTCACTATTACAGTTCAATTTCATTCTAGGAGCAGCTGCAGAAATTTGTGAGAAATTAGATATGGATGCATGGGCAGATGTCCAGGATATTGTATCGTTCTCACCCAATGGCAAAATGGAAAGGAGGTGTAACTAAATAAGCCACTACAATTAAAAAATGTTCCGACACACAGTATTTTACATTTTACTCTATTCAGCCGAACAGTGAACGGGTGCAAGCACTTTAATTAAAGTATTGTAACGCAACGGGGGCTCAGGCGGGCGCCCTTGCCGCATTAGGTCGGCCCCTGCACCGTCCGGGGCTCGAACCCGGGACTTCCGCGTCTCTCTGCAGCGACCCAGCCCCGTGAGCTAAAGAGAGATCTCTCCACAGCCCAGTAGCTGTGGTCCTGCTATCACAGGGAAGGGCGGTGACGTCACCCGCTCTGGTACGCCGGCTCTTACACACAGTGCTTGTCGGCCGTAAGCGTTACAGTATGGTCTCAGAGCTCCCTGGGACTCAGGTCTCCTCTCAGAACTGACCATAAATTCAGGTGGGCTACTTCACATGAAGTGACCTTCTAATATGAACCTAATGACACTTTTGATTGATTTTTCTCTTCCAAGGCATTGACTGCTGAACATGCAGACAAAGGTCCTCTTGTCAATGTTGCTGTTGGCAGTATTGAAAGGTAAAAAAATGTATTTTGCTCATTCTTGGTAAAAATGTATTTTGCTTTGATTGTAAATCACTAAGTAATGTATTAGCCTGCAGTTTATAATTTTATAAAATGAGATCATTATGTTCACCTGACAGCACCAATGGACTTTGCAACTATGGCTAAATTGTGACTTAACTGAAAAGTTTATGCTGTGTTAGTTTACAAGCCATTATTTAAACATTTTATATACAGTATATGCCTGTTTTCTATTCTTTTCACCAAACTACTGTACAGTCATTTTCATCAAACCACTGTAGAGTTGCAATTTGGCAGGTAAGAAAAGCACATGCCACTTAAAGAACAGACTTAATTCATGTCAGCTGACAATTATTAATTTAAGATTTTGTTTCCATCTGTTCATTTTCTGTAAAGTGAATATTCCTGGTAAGGACAAAATAAAGTATCCTGGAAGTACAAGGTCCAAGGCAGGACTGCGTACAGAACTGAAGTTCTCCTTCACACAGAGAAAATCTAGAGATACCAATTAACGCATCAGACAGGACTTCTTGCATTGGAAGGAAAGGAAAACTTGTGTACCCTGAGAACACCTACAGAGAAATGAAGAGATGCAATATCCACATTGAAAGCACCCTAATCTGAATCCACAACAGTAGCAGTTTTGACTACAATGCTACCTGATTCTGTTTTCTTAACAATAATGTCAGTATTTGAACAGCCAATATAGCTAAGTGGTATAAAAATCGAATATCTTTTCATAGTTTCAATATTTCAACTAGTTCTAAAGTACAGTAAGATGTTAACAGTTACATGTATTCGGTACAGAGAACTCTTGCAAATAGCCAAATTCACATACCGTAAGTCCACCCCTGTACCATTGCATGATGTTCTATAGTATATACAGTAGTATGTAGAAAGACATACATACAGTAAGCCTCCCTTATATGGTAATTATGGTGCTAATCCATTGGTTTTAAGTTAATTACAATAACATTGATTAATTAAAATGAGAGTAATCACAAAATTATTGTTAACAACTAAGATAAACAACATTAATTCCTCCTCTATTTCCAGGAGATGCCTGCACTTTCATTCTCTAGCTTCCCAGCTGTTCCCCTGATTCGTGATTAGCATGCCCCAATAATTAAAAGGGCAATAAAATAGTCAGTGTGCCTGTAAAGTTGTCTTCAGCGTGTCATTCCCCATGCTGCTGATACAAAATCAACAGTGTTCTTTATCATACAAAAACAAGACCATGCTGAAATTGCACAGGGGACAAGGAGAGGCTCACTCACTACTAGATACATCTCACAACCCTAGTCTGCTGCACAGATCATTTGAAAAATTGTGCAAAAAAATTAATCCCAGTGCAAATAAGAGAATTTGCTAATGTTAAATTGCAGATGTTGCATGGTAGATTTTCTTGTACCACTATGCAGCAACTAGTTTTTTATATTTTAAATGTTTCACACATTTCACACAAATGTTTCACGGTAATTCATTGAATGTCAAAATAAAAAATTCCAGGTCCAGGATATCCTAAGCAGCAGCGCACAAATGGCTGAGTGCCATTAAGGATAAGGATGGATTAGTCAACCACACTTCTCACCCCTGTAGACTCTTGGATACCTGTATGTACAGTATGTTTTGCTGTTTGAGGGGAAGTGCCTTTCAATAGGCGCTAAATGGGTATAGGCTGTATTTCTATTGTATGTTGCAAGAAATACTTCAAAGGTGGGTGATCAGTCCATCTTGCTGCTTTCGCATTCTCCCTTGTCTGCAGTCATGGTGTTCGTAGCTATGAGCCAAAACTTGATAAATACACAAATGGCTATCCTAAATTGTGTGGCTAGAACTAAATTAATTAGTAATTCTCAATTGAAAAAAAAATGAAAACACTTTTAACTATATATTATGTGTTTTTTTTTTCAGAGAATGTGTGTAGCTACTCTCCCTGTTCCATAAAGAATATGTTTGTTCCTGAAGGTGAACTTGCAATTCTGACATGCAGTTCTACTGTGAAATGGAATGGTAATAGCTCTAAACAAGACTGGAGTCTCAGCTCCTCAAGTGGTTTTATGGAGCTGAAACCAGAGCAGAGAGAATCAATGATCTTTTCTGGGACAAATCTCATATTGTTGGGTGTCATGTTAAACAACAGCGGGATCTACCAATGTACCCTGCGGTATGTAATAAATGGTGATGTTAACAATATCTTGTTCATAATCAGTATTAACCCATATTTATTCACATATTTCACCAAAGCCTTTACCCAAGATTAACTATAGTAAATAATAAAATTACATTTTACAGATTTATTTTTTAGCATTCTGTCTTTGATGTTAATTTTAATTGTCATTTACCAAATTAATTTATGTTTCATGAGCTCAGAAGAGGTATTGCTGAAATATAAGTTGACCAAAAAACATTTATAATTCTTAATAAATAGTTTTGTGCTTGAGTCAGTGTGTGGTGGGAGTGGGGTGGATAATACTTACTTTATGTCTGTAAGTGTCTATAATGGAATGAATTATATCAAATTCTAGATAAGTATAAAATGTTAAGCAGTGTAATTATACATCGGTACAATGATAAGTAGAACAGTCTAATAAACTGTGTATAGCGTATAAACATCACATAGTGAAGCAGAAATTACAAATCCAGATGCTTTAAGCAGAAGCAGAATTAGTTTGTAGTAGAATAATAACTTTGACAAGAGATACTTATCATTGTGTGTGGTTAAGTTAGACAACAAGTACCATTCTGAGCCAGAGAGATGGATGATTGGATTTGTGGTTATAGTCTGAGTAGACTCAAGAGAAGCAAAACACATTGTTGTAGATAAACCATAGGGTTACATATCTATACATAAATTATTATCCCAGGAATTCAAACAGACTAATATTTTTCCAGTTTCAAAGTTCATAACAACAAAATGTCATGTTGAGTATTGAAACAATTACTGACTATACTCAAAATATAGAGTATTGAACTTAAAATAGCTACCATGACACTAGTCACAAAGTGTTTTATGTTCATCTTATATTTAATTGCATTGTAATCTTAAAATAAAAGAATCAAATAAAGACAACAAGATTGTATGTCAAAATCTAGAGATCGGTGCTGGCTAAAAGAACAGGTGAAAAGTTTTAAAATAATTAAGATCCAAATTTGTTCCTTCAAGATCTCAATGCAATAATATTGGCATATAGGTAGCTTTCACATGTTTCTTTTTAATTGTATATGTACAGTATGTGAAAGTATGTTCTCATGTGTGTTTAACACTGCAGAAATGAAACCAGTGTCATCGCATCCAATCAGTATAATCTAACAGTATACAGAGGAAAGTGCTTCATGGAGGAGTACTTAAATCCAGTAAATGGCTTAGTTGAGAATTCAGTCACTCTGCCTTGTAAAAAGAAGAAGGATATTCCTCTCCGTAACCCATGGATTACATGGCTGAAGGTACTGTATTTTAACTGCCACAGGATTAAAATCTCTAGCAAAAGCTTCTGCAATGAAAACTGGTACAGATCTGTAGAATTAGTTTTGGAAGTAATTTAATTACTGAATAAAATGTTTTTAGCAAGTAATCAGTCATTTCACAGTGTAACTAAAACTTAAGTTTAATAACATTCCATATTTTTTCAGACTGTGGTTTATGAAAACAAATAGAAGGAGCAGCTTCTGTGGTTCCTTCTGCTTGCATAGAAGGCTCGCAATGTGTCAGGGGGCCTGTTGCATGAGCATGTCTACTTGTCCTGTTCTCTCCTGAGCATTACAGGAGTGCTTATATATTTTTAACTAATAGTAAAAAACTATCAAATTTTGTACATTAGTATATAAATGAATATGAATGTTGTGTATTAGTACAATTTATCTTATTTTCAAATATACAATATACATATGTTGCTGAGAAGTGTGAAGTAGAAGCCAAATGAATAATTAAGAATCAATTCATGTGGAATAAGTGAACCCCTAGTTTATTTGGCACAATTAACATGGTAATTTGAACCAGATGATCAAATAATTGGATAACAGTAAACAAGGGCTGAGTTTTTCCAACATTTTGAGTTTTGTGTTCACTATACAGGTTAGTGGAAACAAGCCATACCACAATCACATGAGCTTTCAAAGATTTCCTCTGTAAAAGAGTAGTTGAGAGTTCATTGTCAAACAGTCAACAAATGGAAAAGACCATAGTGACGCTACATAGTCATCCTGCCATCCTGCCCAAATTTCATAAAGAGCAAACCTGGAAAATATTCCTGTTCATACCTCAACCATCAGTAATAGACAGAATGGAACTGGTTTTCATGGGAGGATAGCTAGAGATAAATAATTTTGTTCTAAAAAAACATTGTCACATGTCTGAAGTTTGCCAAAGAGTACTCTTAACTAATGGATGAGTGTTCTCTGGTCAAATGAGTCAAAAGCTGAACTTGAACCATGAATCTAGCATTATATCAGCAAATTCTGGAGGAGAAGTTCCAGAATGGCTGGAGAGTAAGAAGTTTGGGTTGTTCATGCAATGAAACCCTCAAATGTCACTAACTTGAAGCAATTCTATGAGGAATAGTTCCTAAAAAATGGAAATTCCTAAAAGCGAGAATGATAAACAGTTACAGGAAACTTCTAAGGGAAGTCATTCTTGCTCAATCAGATGCCATCAGTTGCTGAATGTGAGGTTTCACATATTTATTCACACAAGAATATTTACTGTTGGGTCATTTTGATAATTACATAGTCCAAATGTATAGTATATTTTTGTGTTACATTTTAATGGCCTTTTATACATACTTTCATTATGATCGATGCTTAAAGTCTAAAACAGCTTAAAGTCTTAAAACGTCTTCTCGGTACAGTATGCATTCTCTGTAGTAGTATTTTACTCTGAAGGAGTATTTTCTCCTTCAATGATGTATCAAAACATTACTTAATTTAGCACATTATTACATTTATACAAGTATTTTATTGTTCTTTTCTTCTTTCTTAGGATTGTGAGAAGAAAATTATCTCTTCAAATGAGATACATTTTTCCAGTCTAACACAAAGTGATGCAGGAATATACACCTGCATTCAAACTTATGAGTATGGAGGCAAACAATACAATTTCTCAGAATTCACAAAGCTGATTGTAAATGGTAATGTACATTTTAGTATTTGATTTATTTTAGCACTACAGTTCTGTTCTGTAAGTATGGATTTAAACTGTATTATAATGTGATCAATATCTATGAGGAACTAAAAAATCTGTGTATAGACAATGAATCTTCAAACTACTGTACACTTGAAAGAGCAAACACAGTAATTCAACAGTCACTATTACCAATATAACCAATTTGTGATTAATGGGATTTCGGTGCAAAATAGAACTAATAGCAATGTTAAAATCAATGATATCCATACGTGGACCCATCAGTCTGAAGCCTTATTCTGATTCATACTGTATATGAATATTCATACTGTATATTAAGCAAATTGAGAGTGTGTGATTCCCCCGGATAAAATGCTAATCGATCACAGGGTTACTACCAGTATAGCTTCTGCAAATCTATAAACAGTAACTGGCAAAACTAGAACAGTCTACTTTATGGTGCAACTGCTAAACAAGACAAAACTATTTCTGAACTGTCTGTATTCCTCCAGTACTCACATGACAACCAAGACTTAGCCTGCAATCAGGCACTACATTGCATAGAAATTGTATTGTTTAATTCAGCAAAGGTGTAATTCAAATCATAGTGTTTAATTATTTTAAATAAATAATTCTAATTGGTATCATTTTAATTTAGAGATTTCTGACACTCTGGAACCCCAGATTATTTACCCCAGAGAAAATGATGCAATTGAAGTTGAATTGGGTAAGTTGCTAGCAATCAATGTAATTCACACACATGTTCAATATGATATGATAAATTATTTTTTGGTTTTGGTTGTGCCATAATTTAATGACTTGTGAGCAAGATTCACATGGGGATTTCATGATTTAAAGTCATGTGTGGTGTTGATCACATACAGTACAGCACCTGCCACTGGTGTGTACACCATTATCTTGAACTCCAGCATACAAATGTCTGGGCACAGGTTGACAGACATATTCCTTATGGTGCACAACATGTTATTTTAATTAATCTTTTAGCAACCCCAAGATTAATAATGTTTTTAGTTGTGTGTGATGTTAACTAGTACAATATGAATCTACCACACCCGTAAAAACGTTGGTCCCTTAAACAACAGAAAATGTTTCAGCATTTCTCCTGAATTCAATTTTCAGCCAAGAAGGCTGAATATTCTAAACTGCTGTAATTCATGTAAGCACAAAATCCTTTCTGAGACTTGGAAGTGTGATCCACGCAAAAAAAACTGCAGCTTTTTTAAAGCTAGCTCACAGTTCAGGGACTTATTATATGGTGGGATGGTGATGCAGTGCTTAGCATTGCTGCCTCTCAGCATTGGGGCCCTGGGTACAAGTCCAGACCTGTGGTGCTGTCTCTGTGGAATTTCTGTGTTTTTCCCATGTTTGCATGAGATTTGCCAAGAGCTTCAGTTTCCTTCCACAGTCCAAAGACATTCTGGGAGGTAAATTGGCTTCTAGGGAAATTGACCCTGATATGTGTGTCTTTGATTGTGTCTGTGTACAGTATATGCTTTATGCTGGTTGCTTGCCAGGAGAGGCTCTGGCTCCCCTGCGACCTCCAAGTGGATGAAACAGTCCAGAAAATGGGTGGATTATATTGAACACCAAGGGGAAGAAAAACAGGAACAATAAAACAAATGGAATAAGACCTAAGAAACAGGAGGTGTTTCATAATGCTTCATAAGCAATAACAACTCGGCAAGTTTTGGGAGTTGTAATAAGTTGTGCAAAGTGCAAAGGAGGGCTTAACCACCAAAATCAGGCATGTTAAGTGGCTGTGCTCTTAGCTGTGTGGGAAAGTGTGAGAGTGTGGTAAGGGATGTTATCATTCTTAGCTGTAAAAAGTATCCATAAAGCTGTTAAATTAAGTGAAGTAATGTGATAGGCCAGTTAGAACTTGCAGTATATGCAGCAAAGTACTTCTTACATGACTAATGATGTAATGTTCACTCAAACCAAAAATGTATCACCTGGCTCCAGTTTATTTAAAACTACCTTCACAGAGTAGACCTTATCAGCATACTGTGGTGAATGGCAAATACTGGAGAGAGACCATATTATTTAAAGGCCACCAGGTATCAAGACTATGCATTAAGATGCTTCTGAATATCTGTGCCTGATGTTCCATAGTGTCATGGACAGAAATTCACCAAATTCACCTAAAATGGCAATCCTTATTTCAGAAGATAATAAATTCAATGAAAACCATAGCCTGAGAGAATTTTAAAATCAAATACTCAAATGGTGTATATTATGGTATACAGTAGAAATTGATTTTAAATAGAAGATGAGGTCATACAACACAATAAAATCACCTCCATCACCAATTTCCATGGCCAGTGGGGCAATAGATCTTAACCAAAACCCAGGTGGTACAATCTAATTAAATAGTAGACCGTCATTTTGTGATACATTTAAGCTAAATTTCAGTTCAAAACGTTGGCTATTTTCTATCACTGACAAAGTATTTGGGGAGTATTAAACAAGGACAGTTGTTATTTATTCTATAAGGCTATCTAAGCCCCTTGAGTTCGTTTTATTTTCGCGGGGGGAAGCGGTGAATCATATATATACTTGCTTTCCAGGAGACATGCTTTCCAGTTGGCCAGTGTACTGTACATTTCTAAGCAAATGCGACCCTAACAAACCTAGGCCTGTATGGAGTTGCATCCACCATACACAACCTGATGCCAGCCCTGTATGCATGCAGTACATCACAGTTTATTCAGTGAACTAAAAACATTGAAATTATATAAATTTCAGATTCCAAGTCAGTCTCCAAAAACACAATAAAAACATTTTTTTGTCTTTAATATATTGACAATTGATTTCATTTTATTTTTAGGTATATCACAAGTAATCACCTGCAAAGCAGTTTATAAAGATAATGATTTTATCGTTTTGTACTGGTTAAATGACACAGATCCTGTAGAACAGTGCAATAATGGAGTACGTGTCTGTACTAATGGCTCCAGGTAAGAACTTACTCTTTATGTTTTAGTTTCTAAAATCTACAGTTCCCCTTCACTTGAGATTTGATCATGTGCATACAGTTTTATTTAAATTTTCATAGACTGGTTTTCTAATAAGAATGTTAAATGTCTGTTATTGGTTACTAAGTGAAACATGTATGAAAAACAGTGAAACTGTCTACTAGAAACAAGTATGAAAATCGAATACATTGAATTGCTATTCATTATTGATGTTTCATTTTGTAATTTCTTCCATATTATTAAATATTGTAAGGATTTTGTACTGTCTTATTATTATTATTATTATTATTATTATTATTATTATTATTATTATTATTACAACTAATTAATTCAGGGATAAACTTTTTTTCCAACCAACTTAAGCTGAAACCCATTCCTACAGCCTTGTATATTACCAAAGTAATGTCAAGAGATCTTGCTTAAAGGGGACACTGGGGATTTGAATCCACTATATCATACCACTGCCTGTTGCTTACTGGTAGCAGTAATGGCTCACCCCATTACTTAAAACACATCCAGGAAGCAAAAGGCGTTTCAAATAACAGGTCATAAATTAAATAGACCAACCAGTAACAGCAAGAGACAAGCAATATCAGGGAATGAAAGATGAAAGAATTTAAGATTATGTATCACAAAAGAGATGGGTGTCATTGATTTTTTATGAAGAGCAAACAATTCTCTCCCCTTCACTTTTTTATATACACACTAGGATTTATACATTTCCTGATTTTCTCTACAGCTAAACTTTGAGAAAATGTAAAAATTCATAAGACATGGTTCTAGTACTGTACAAGAAGAATGAGGACCTGTGTACGTACAGTACCCATGTGTCATAAGCATCTGTCATATGTCATACTTGAGATGGGGTGGCAAATGGTGAAGCTGTATGTAGTAGAGAGAACCAGCTGTTTGAGCATCTCTGCTTGGGTGTTGGCTAATGATATAGGCCAAAGTTGAACTCCAGTCTAAGCAAAGGCCTTTTCTTTTTTACTTGTTGAGTTTCACACTGCTGTTACTGCTGTAACATGTTCATTCTCTGTGCTGGGTGCCACATGAACCTGCCAACTTGAGAGCTCAAGTCTCAGTGCTGCTAATGGCTTGCATCCTGGCCATTTTGCAGAGAACTAACTTAATACTTAAGAAAAATGTAGAGTTAGCACAAAGATAACTAAATTCAAAGGTTCCTGATGTTTCCAAACAAGTTAGAATTATAAAATAAATACACACAAGTGCACAGAACCCTACAGAACAAAGTTCATATCAGGAGGATATGAGAGGTAGAAAAGTGACAATTGATCTAATATAAAAGATAAAAGATAATCCAGATTGAATAAGAATGTTTAAATTTGGATTTGATAAAGTTGTGGAGGAGGGGCTTACTCAGCTGGTGCTACATGCATATTCACATTAAAAACAACATACCTGTTTTATATTGGCTATTTTAAAGTACTGAATGCTCTGGTACTGTTTGCAGCGAACACATAATTGATGGGAAAACTCAACTGATTTCATCTTTAGTGATTAAATATTTTACTGAAGAGGACATGATGAATAAATATGTCTGCAAACTAGATGGTGGATTAAAAAACAAAAATGTATCTATAACCTTTAAACTAAAAGGTAAGACTTGAATTGTAAACATTTTTTCTTTAAATACAGGTTGGGCTGTACTGTAATATTAAGTTTATGTATAAAATACAGAAGTGGGTTATGGGAGTATGGATTGCGCTATAGGAGTATTTAATAAGCTGTGCATCCATGTAATTGAATTTGATACCCTGGCTTCTTTCAATAAACAGCTGGATGAGATCCTTAAATCAACTAGCTACTATTACGTGGATAAGATGGGCCCATTATTATTAGCTTTTCTGTTATATATGGCACTTTAAACTTATCATACCAATGTCATTATACCTGCCAACAATTCCAAGAGTATATTTTTTGGGAGCCATTGTAAATTAGGTATTATAAAATTATTATTAAAATGTTTATGTGGTGTTTTTATCATAAAGGTAACTGAAAAATAAGGAGGTAAATGAACAAAAAGCTACCTCTTTACATTGTACTTTATGATCTTGAAATTATTGTTTATAACAGTTAATAATTGCTTGCATTTATATAAAACTTTTCATCCTTAGGAATCCTGATGTAGGAGTGTACTTTTATGTAACTCTGAAGTGCATCTACCTGTAACCTTTAGCAGCCTCTATAACCTAGAAACATGAATAAATGACACTTTAGGTGGAGAAATAAGAATATAAGGGTGAAATTTAGCGAGAAAAAAAGTGTCAGCCCATGGTGGACTTTAGGTTAATACTGGAATTAACACCTCTGCACTTATGAACAGTGCCATGGGCTCTTAATGACAAATCAGTGAACACTTGGTGTGAGCAACTTTGATGTCCTGCTCTACAATGCGCCCTGATCACCAACCTGAAGACTTGGTTTGGGCATTTTAGTCCAGAGGGAAGACTGCCACCTACTGGTCTACTAATTTTTCTTACAACAATGACCTTGTTTTCTTTAGAGGTAGAGCTACTGTTGTTTCTATGAGGGGTACTGAAGCAGCAGTCCTCTGTTTAGCAAAGGTGTATTGCTTAGAATTTTGAAGTTATTCACAAACCCATGCTGCATATGGAGTTATCACCCTACCGTTAGTACCTCAAGACAAGCAATAGTCTTAAATAGTCAAATAATCTTTCTTTGTGCTCGTAGTACTTAGTTTATGATTTTGTTACAGTCCTCCCAAAAGCAATCCTCAGTAAATAAAACCACTTTGAAAGTTACAACTGAAGAATGTAAGAAATGTTACAAACAAAAGGAAACCGATTTAAGCCACCTACCTTAATTCACTGTAACATATTCATAAACAGTCACTTCTTCAAGAGGCACAAATTGTGAAGCTTGACTACTAGGCAGGTTATTTCTTGTGTACCCCAGCAATTCAATGTTTGAAGAAGTGCCTCCTGTTTTTATCCTTCTTAATTTTATTTTACTTGCCTTTGTTTCTCTGCTGAATTTCAAGAAATCCCTTGTGTTATCTTTGCCAGTAATTTTGAGGATTTTGAATGCACTTACCCTTACTGTCTAATTTGTTGAAGACTTAGGATTCAGTTCCTTTTTTCATTCACCAATCCTTATCTTAAGAGGCCTGGTCATACAAACAGAACTCTTCAGAAAAGCCCCAATTCTATTCTTACCTATGTTTTTTTTTTGTAGAAGAGATTTTTTAAGCAAGATAAATAGTTGGGCACAGGAATAAAACAGTTTTTTATGAATGTATTGGCTGTTATTGATTATCATAATTGTTGATTATCATTAAATATAATCTAGTTTATTATTTTGTCACATTATAGACATCTAAAACAAATTCATGCTTTTATATGTTGTTGTCCTTCATGTTTTCTAGAGAGTAATCTTCAAGGAACACAATCTATTTTTCTGTGGTCTGGAGTATTGGGAGTGTTTTCAGTTACAATAGTTACTGTTACAGTTCTGTATGTCAAGCTTAAGATCTACATTGCCCTGGTCTTCAGAGATTTTACTGGTAAAGATGACACACTTGGAGGTAAGACAGTTCTGTGTTATTTTTTTTCAGTTATGTGGTTTCTTCACATTTTCTGTTCTTCTTTTGTTCTGTTCTGTTTTTCTAGAACTACTGTATGACAGCTGATAATGTAGCCAAATGGAATAAAAATATGATTTTACAGTAAGACTCCCATACTGATCCATTTATACTTTATACCCCTTTATACATTTAGAATGTCTTTTAATTACATTTCGCATACTTTTTAAAATATTGTTTGGTGTTTTTACCAGATGGAACTAGGACTCCTAATTGGCAATTATTGTCTACTATTTTAATTTTTCCAGCATCACTGATGCCCTTGTTGCATATGTAGGCTTCCATACATGCATATGTATATCCATTCACTTAGTTCGGGGAAGCCTTTGTCTTTGGCTTTTGATCTAGCTGAGGATTCTTGTATGTTGATGTCTCTGTTGAGCTTTGCATTGCATTCTCTCAAAATAGTTTCTTGTATCCTGGCTAATGTGTAGTCATCTCATTAATTTAACAATAAGATGTTGATTTGCCTTCCATAGGTTGGGCAACAAGTTCAGTCTGATATGATAGAAAATATATAAGTTTATGAAAGTTTCTGGTTTTCTGAAATCTTCTTCTGTTTCAGATGGCAAGGAATATGATGCCTATATCACATACTATAAGACTAGTAGTTCAAAATCATTTATTCCAAAAGAAAGAAATAATTTATTAGAGATTCTGGAGCATCACTTTGGCTACCGGCTTTGCATTTATGAACGTGATGTTCTTCCTGGAGGAGGTAAGACCCTTTGTAAAACAACTAAATCAGGTAATTTAACATTGTAATGACTAGGCCTGACTTTTCTGGATATGGATAAAAGTTGGTGAATTGCTCATCTGTATCATCTACTCTGGAGTGGTATAGCTTGTTAGAAATTCCCTTAGTGTAGAGAAATGCCTCTTGCTCTTAGTTTTAAATGCACAAATGCATTTGGGAATTGCACACCAGTATATCTTCTTACTATTTAGAGAGCATGGTCCAAGTACTAACTTTTTATCACCATTTCACATCCTGATTTTTCAGCTTTTGCGGACACCATTCTGGAATACATTGACAAGAGCAGAAGGTTGATAATGATACCGAGTGCGGATGACCCAGCACATGAAAGTCAATATGAGTTAGTAACTGGTCTGCATAATGCTCTGGTTGATAAGAAAATACAGATCATCATAATTCAGTGTGAACCAAAGGCAGACCTGGACTCTTTTCCGGAGCCTTTGAGGCTTCTTGTGAAGTCTAATGGAGCAGTTAGATGGAAAGACAGAAAGTCGAAAGAGCTGGAATCAGTGTTTTGGAAGAAATTGCGGTATTTGATGCCAGCAAAGAAGCGGACTGTGTCCAGTCCAGAAGAAGTAAATATGGTGTGAACAAAGCAGGAAAATATAGAACGGTTTGAAAACATTTATTTCCCCCTGGAATTATTGCTCAAATACCATTATGAACTGTACTGTCTTATAGTCTATGAGGTTTATTAATATGCACAATATTATAACACACTTCTGGCTGTATCTTTAAATTTGCTTCAAGTTTAAAGTACTGGAAATAATTATGGAAACAGGGAAACGTGGATTTATAATAAAATCTACACCATATAAAATTATAGCTTTCATGTGAAAATAAAATGTTACCTCATTATGTGTTACAATAACATGCTACATGTTACGAGTTCGGTAATAGGGACCGAACGAGTGAGTGAACCCACTTGCAGGAGCAAACAAAGCCAAGTCGTAATCCGAAAGCAAACCGTAATCGTAGGAACGAGCCGAGAGTCCAGGGGAAGC